TTATTTATAAATGTACAATTTAGTTAGGCATTAATCACATTCACAATGTTATATAGCCATCATCACCATCTAGCTATACACATTTTTTTTTAATTTTTCCTAATATAAACTCTGTACCCATAAAATAGTAACTTCCCTTTTTCCCCTTCTTGCCTAACCTGTGTTCTCTGTCTCTATGAGTTGTTCTTGGTTCCTCATGTAAGTAGAGTCATACAATTTGTCCTTCTATTTCTGGCTTATTTCACTTAGTGTAATGTTTTCAGGGTCCATCTGTGTAGTAGCATATATCAAATTTTGTTCCTTTTTATGGCATATTCAGTTGTATGTGTAACTACATTTTTCTTATTCATATATTCATTGATAGTCACTAAGATTGTTCCCACCTTTTAGCTTTTGTGAATATTGCTGCTGTTACCATGTCTTTACAAATGTATGGTCTAATCCCTGCTTTCATTTTTAGAGATATATACCTAGGAAGAGAATTGCTTGATCATATGGTAGTTCTATGTTTAACTTTCTTTTTTCCTTTAGAGAAATTTTTCCTATAGGGCATGACCACTCACGAGAGAGACAGAAGGTGAGAAATCAGCCCCTGGGAAAATGGCCACACTCTACTCCTTTCTCTTCCATTCTCCTCTCAGGATTTTGGGTACTTGCACACACACACACACCTGGAGTGAATTTTGAGCCTCTGGGTCTGGGACTTGAATTGTGGTCGATTGCATAGTAGTCCAGTGACCTAACCATTACTCCATCTGCTGGTCCCATTATTTTTAACATTTTGAGAGGAACTGCCAAACCATTTTTCAGAGAAGCTTCATCATTTTACATTCCTACCAGCAATTTATGAGGATTCCAGTTTCTATACATCCTCACCAACACCTGTTATTTCTGTTTTTTTAATAGTAGCCATCGTATTTGAAGTAGTCTCTCATTATTTTGATTTACATTTTCCTAACTATTGACGATGGTGAATGTCTTTTCAAAATGTGCTCACTTGCCATTTATGTATCTCCTTGTGACAAAAGTATAAGTCTTTTGCTCATTTTTTATCATGTTCTGTTTTTTCGTTGCTGAGCTATAGAAGTTCTTTATATATTCTGAATATTAATCCCTTAACCAGATATATGATTTGCAGATATTTTGTCCTGTTCCTTGAGTTGCTTTTTCTCTCTGTTGATAGTGTCCTTTAATGCATGTAAGTTTTTGTTTTGTTGGTTGGTTTTTGTTTTTGCTATAGAGCACATGAGAGAGAGAGGCAGAGAAAAGGAAAGAAATCTCCCCCTAAGTGGAGATGGGCACAGCCTGGTTTCTTCTTGAGATTTTGGACTCACACACATGCCTGGCATGATTTTTCAAGTCACCAGATCCAGGACTTGTATTGCACAGCCAACCATGTGGGATCCAGTACCTGAACCACCATGCCACCTGCTGATTTTGATCAGTTTGATTTTATTTATCTTTTATTGTCTGTGCTTTTGGTGTCATATCCATGAAATTTTTGTCAAATCTGATGTCATAAAGGTTTTCCTGTTTGTTTTAGGTCCTAAGTTTAGATCTTCCATCAATTTTGAGTTAATTTTTATGTATATAAGGTAACAGCCAACTTCATTCTTTCACATATGGGTATCCAGTTATTCAAGCAACATTTGCTGAAAATACTGTATTTTTTCCATTAAATATTCTCAAAAATCAGTTGACCGTATATATGAGGATTTGTTTCTGGACTCTTGATTCTATTCCATGGGTTTATGTGTCTATCCTAGTACCAGTACCATAATGTTTTTTGTTTGTTTGTTTGTTTGTTTTTAATTTGCTGGAGTGCATGTGCACTTGCCAGAGAGAGAGAAGACCATGGGGCATGGTCATACCACATCCTCTGTTTCTCCCTTCCCTTAGGATTTTAGGCATGCACACACATGCCCAGCATGTTTTCCAACTTAATAGGTCCAGGACTTGGACTGTACAGTTGGCCATGTAGGGTCCAGCCACCTTAATCACCAGGCCTTAGGTTGGCCCGTACTGTTTTAATTGCTGTAGCTTCATAGAAAGTTTCTAAGTCAGGAGGTATGAGTTCACCAACTTTATTCTTTGAATATTGTTTTGCTATTTGAGACCCCATTCAATTTCACGTGAATTTCAAACTTAGTCTTCATTTCTGCAAAGAAGGCAATTAGAATTTTGAGAGGGTTTGGCTTGACTTTGTAGATCACTTTCAGTACTATTGACATCTTGACAAGATTAAGTCATTCTGTCCCTGACCACAATTTCTCACTTTCTGTCTCTCTGTCTCTGTCTTTCTGGCAAGCGCACTTTCCATTTATTTGGTGTTCTTCAGTTTCTTTAAGTAATGGTTTATAGTTTTCAGCATACAAGTCTGTCACTTCCTTGTTTAAATTTATTTGTAAGTATTTAATTCTTTGAGATGTTGTTATAAATGGAATTTAGTTGTTCATTGCCTTTTGGATTATTCATTGCTAGTGTATAGAATCCCCATCAACTCTTTATGGAATGATTTTAGCAACTATTGAAGATCTTACTTAGATGAATTATGTTATAAAGGGATTACAAAATAGTGATATTCTGTCATTCCTTCTAATGTATTAACTAGTACACTAGTACTCTTTTTATTTTTTGGAGAGTTTTTGTTTGTTTGTTTGTTTGTTTGTTTGTTTTTTGTTGTTGTAGGTTGGTCTTTTTGTTTTTTGGGTTTTGGATTTTTTTGCTACAGGGCATGTGCGCTTGCCAGAAAGACAGAGACAGAGAGACAGAAAGTGAGAAATCCCCCCCCCCCCCCTCGGGGAGGGGGGGATAGCCACATCACAATCCCTTTTACTCCATTTTCCTCTCGGAATCTTGGGCACACACACACATGCGCCAGGCGTGAGTTTAAGCCATGGGGTCCAGGACTCGAACTGCAGTCGACTACATGGGAGTCCAGCAATATAGTGATTACACCAGCTGCTGGTCCCTTAACTAGTACTCTTTTACAAAGAAGAATTTACCTTACCCTAGTATAATTTATATAGAGAAGTACAGATAGATGCTTAATTTTAACAGTGTTTGGTACAATGATTCCCTAAGATCCTCTCAAGTTTTTCAATGAAATGTCTGGTTTTAGGGTTTTTTTTTTTTCTTTTATTATTATTGTGAACTCATAGATTTTAACATTTCATATTTTAGTTCATTACATTTTTCTTTTTAATGCTTTAATTTTCCCCACCTTTATTCAGTCAAGTCCTTTCTAGGTGGTTATTGAGTCTTTTTTTTTATATATATCAGTAGTCTTTGATAACTTTCTGAAGGCAACAACTTTTGAACAGTTTTTTTTTAATGTTTTATAAGTTATATACTGATTCCTTATCAACTCTAGACACTATCTTTGATTTCTAATTATGAAAAATTGCAATTTAGGGACCAGCAGATGACATAATGGTTACATCAACTGGATTCTCACATGGCCGACCACGGTTTGAGTATCAGACCCAGTGACTTGAAACTCACACCGAATGCATGTCTGTGCATGCCCCATATTCCAAGAGAATAGAGGAGAAGGGATTGCAGCATGGCCATCCCCTATGGGGGGGTGTTTTCTCACTTTCTGAAATCTGGCAAGTGCATGCACCCTCTAGCAAAAATCTCTATAAGAAAGGAAAAATTAAGATGTAGCCTCTCTTTTTTCTAGCAAGTTGTTACTATCTGTTCTTCTCCTCTTCTACCATCCTGTACTGCTATAAGCTTATCTTTACTTTTATAATGTCAGGTTAAGTAACATTCCTGATGTTTTTTCTATAATAAAGATCAAATCTTTCATACTTTGCCTACAGGTTGATTTTAAAAATTGAAAGCCAGTAACAACACTTATGGTGGTAGTGTAAATATTGTTTATTGCTAAACCAAGTATGGTATTAAGATTGTAATTTCTTTTTATGTAATGCACATGTACCACTTGATGGTGTTACTAGCATCAGGATTCTAGAGTCTCATTCCTTATAGTCTATTAGTTAAAGGAATACATTTGGTTCTTTTATATACTGATACTTTCTTACAGATTTAACATTTCTTTTTGAGAAATAATGCTTTTTTAACGATCAATTACTAATTTTTTTTCTTGGCTGTCTTTCACTCAGTAACACACTTTAAACTGCTTTGTTATCTTTCGAAATTTCTTGAATTATCTAGTGCTAACCTACACCCATTCTCTTGCACTTTTTTTTTTGTTTGGGTTTTGTTTGTGTATTTGTTTTTTCATGCACCCTCTGTGGGGAATAGGCATGCTTCAGTCCCTTCTTCTCCATCTTGCCCTCCTTTCATGATTTTGGACATGCACACATACACACCTAGCATGTTCTTTAAGCCACTGTGTCTAGGACTTGAACTATAGAGTTAGCCATGTAGGATGTCGCTTCATTAACTCCAGGCCTTGGAACTGTCCCTTTATTTTCTTTTTAAAGGGATCTTGGGGGGGTGGGGGGGATACACACGCACGCACACACACACACACTAAATCATTAAGCTATGTAGTTTTTGTTGTAATCAGGTCATTTGTTTTACTATTCTCAAACAAAACTATTTCTAGCATCTGTTTAACACTGCTTTTGTTTTATTTGCTTTTGTCCCCAAATATTTTTAGTTGTATTTACTACCAATTGTAACTCATAGCTTGAGAGCCTGTTCTAAGAGTGAAAGTGTAGGTGGAAAGAAATACATTTTTACATGACCGATTATCTTGAACAGATTGGAGGAATTGCATTTGAATCAAATTTAAAGTGATACAAAGCAATTAGTTGCACTTGATTCAGAAGAGGGAAATAGGGACTTGGTCAGGAAAAGGAGAGTAGGTTTTAAAGGAAGATTTTGTTTTTAAATAATGTGGTTGATTAATCTTAAGTGATCAAGTCCCCTGAGGGCCTTAGCTAAAGATAACCATATCTAAATGATACATAGCTGAATTTTGAGCCAAAAGCTTAATGTCAGTTGTATTTATCATGTCATTTCAGCTTCTGAAAATTTTCCAATATACTAATTTTGAGAAAAATAGAAATTACATCTTATCAACTCAAGATCGCCTTGTAGGGGGATTTGCAAAGTGGCCTGACAGTCATCCAGGTAATTATTTTTTATGTGGATCCAGAACAGATTTAATTTCTTGAGTACATCTTCAAGCATCTTTTTCAGAGAAGGCATATGATAGAAAATGTAACCCATAAATACATTAAATAATATGTTCTTTAAAAGATAGGTTGTTTAAGCTTAGAATGGATTTAGGGTGTTGGAGAATATAAAGAAAGGGATTGATTATCAAGATGTATTAATATAGTATGCATCCCCCCCCAGATATTTTAACAATGTGTTACTTCATTTGTGGCAGTAAGGCAAATGTTCTGACTGAATCCTTTCCAAAGTAGAGAATTGTTTGGCCCATCCAAAATTCATAGAATTATCAACAATGACTTGAGCTAAGTACAATAAATACCTCTCAAACCCAAAGGGAATCAGTTCTTATTCTTCTCAGAAAACTCATTAAATCCCAAACTCAAGTCCTAAATACAGGTGTTCCTCTCTGCTCTGTACTCTACATTTCAGCAGACTCAGGTGACTTTTTTAGATGAATACTTTGCTATATGAATTCTTACCATTCATGATATAAAATCACAAACGAATTAGTAGATTCATACAAGATGACTGGTATGACATTAAGGTCTTCCAAAAATTTGACTCTTCTTCCCTCTCTAGCATCGTTCTTCAGCCTACTACCCCCCTTCGTATCTTCACTTTGAATGAAATGAGTTTATTTACAGCTTTCCCATTAAAAATCAATTTAAGTCTGTTGAAGTAATTTAGAACAACTGACGTTTCTAATAAGCAAGTTGTGAAAGAATTAGCTGTAAAATATGTAAAACTCTAGATGCAAGGAGTGATTGTTTTTTGCAGCTTTGCATAGATCATGGTTTTTGTTATAATCAATCTAGAAGAGCCTTTTCATTTCATCACCTATCATAAAATTGCTATGGTTGTAATTTGTACTTAAAATATAAACAGCTCACAAAATCATATTTTTGTACCTGAAATAAGCAGAAATATTTTTACTATCATACTTACGTGTATTTTCATGTAAAACAGGCCTCCCTAGAAAAAATGTACAGTACTTTAAGGGTCATAAGCCAAAGTATATTTTTACAGTGTTTTTAAATTATAGAAGTAAAATAATACCTTTGTAAATCTTCATATCTGTAACACATAACTATAAATATGTTAGAAAAGTGTCTACAGAAAACAGAATTATTTTGATCTTGATACCAATTTTTTTCAATCAGCATATGGTACTATTGTAACATGTACTGTTCTAACAAATAATAAGAATAGGGAAATGATAGTCTCTTTTTTTAAAAAAAAGAATTATTTATTTGATTTTATTTATTATTATTAGTTTTTAATTTTACCAGAGAGAAAGGGAAAGTGAGAAAGCAAGCTACCAAGTCCAGGACTCGAACTGCTATCAGACACGTGGGAGTCCAGCACCTTAACCACCATACCACCTGTCAGCCCCAGGAAATGATGATCTCTTAGAAAGCATTTCTTATTTAAATATACTTGAAACCCATTAGTCTGTCGGTCTTTGCCTAAGATGTGTGCACTCACACGCCTAGGGAGACAGGGACAGCAAGAGAGAAAGTGAGAAATCACCCCCCGGGGGGACGGCCACACTGCAGTCCCTTCTCTTTCATTCTCCTCCTGGAATCCTAGGCACGCATGCACACATGCTTGGTGTGAATTTGAAACCACCAGGTCCAGGACTCGAACCACAGTCAGCCATATGGGAGTCCAATGACATAACTGCCACACCATTTGCTGGCCCTGAAACACATTAGTATTTCTAATAGCACTTCTTTTAAAAATTTTTTTAGTTATTTATTCAATTTTATTTATTATTATTATTTTAATTTGTTATAGCACACACATGCCCATCACAAAGAGACAAGGGAGAGAGAGAGAAGGAAAGGAAAATGAGAAAGCAAGTTACTAGGTCTAGAACTCGAACCGTCGTTGGCCATGTGGGAGTCCATGCCTTAACCACTGTACCACTTGCTGGCCCCTTTAAAAATCTTAAGTTTCTTTCCCGAGAGAGAGCAAGAAGCAGGGGTGGCACTCCCAACAGTTCTCTTGCTGTGATCCACACCTATCTCAGCTGGCTCAGCTCTTGGGCACATGCATGTCTTGCATGTTCAGGGTGGCCTCAGGACTCAAGCCAAGAACCATTTCCATGTGGGTCCAGTTATGTTACCACTGTGCCACCTCCAGGCCCATCATAGCTTTTTTATTTATTTTTTTTTTTTGAGAGGTTTTTGTCATAGGGCGTGTGCGTTCTCCAGAGAGACATAGAGAGACAGAAAATCACCCCCCAGGGGGGATGGCCACGCTGCAATATCTTCTCTTCCATTCTCCTCTCAGGATCTTGGGCACGCATGCACATGCACCTGGTATGAGTTTAAGGCACCGGGCCCAGGACTTGAACCCATGGTCGATTACATGGGGGTCCAACCACATAGCCATTATGCTAACTGCTGGTCCCAGCCATCATAGCTTTAAAAAAAAAAATTCTTGAAACTTTTTTCTAGAGAGTTCAGTTGCTAACTTTAACATTTGTATAAATATTTGAATGTAATGCTAGCTTCTTACTGATAAATTATATTTTCAGTGCCTAAAATTACACTAGAGAACATAGTAAGTCTTCGTATAATAAAAGAAGTATTTGTGGAAACACCTGTGAGCAGAATGTTTAGAAAATTATTTTAACCTGATTTATTTTAAATTAGCTTATCTTGGTTTTAGTAAGTCTAGCAGTAGATTTGACTAAAGTTTTTATACATTTATGAAAGAAACCTCTGAAAGAGTGATGTTTTATTATGAATTAATATTGGCCTCCATCAGTAAAATAACTTTCTTACAAATGGCATTAAGTAAGCATAACTACCTTGTCTTTTCTGTTGAGAAGTAAATGACACTTGTTAGAGGAAAACTTTTTCTTTAACTCTTGACAGAGTTTGACTTGCTAAGATATTTTGAACTACAAATAGCCCTTGAGGCCATAAATGACTGACCAACTAAAATATAGAAAAAAATCTTGACTGCTACAAAACCTTTTTGTAGTGTTCCCATAACTGCAGAGCTCTGAGCTCTCTGGAAGACTATAGGCTTTGAGGCAGGCAGCATCATGTGATTTCAGCGGCCACTTTCGTAGAAGAGGATTGCTGGCCCCCGTCAGATGGGTACTGTATGAGGCAGTAGAGATGAATGGTTATGATACCAGGTAGAACGTCGAGGGTTTTTAGTATCAGATTTTTTAGAATGACTGGCATTAGCCGAAATAGAAGAATGTGTTCTGGCACAGCATTTCAGGGTAGATTATGTTAGCTTAAGTTCCTTTAATGCAGTATTTGGATAGTATATAGGTTAGAAAAGGTCAGAAGTAAAATTGGGGAGGTGGGGGGTGGGAGGTGTTGCTTCTTAGATTATGAGATTTTGGGGGGATTTTTTTGCTTAAGTTTATTTTATTCTGCCTTTAATAAGAGAGAGGCACACACAGACAGACAGGTACCCTTGACAGGCTTTTGCCACACCATGATTCTTGCTCATGCCTTTCAGCCAGCCACATCACAGGTACGTGCAGGCATACCCAGCGTGTTCAGATGAACCTGGGATCCAAGCTCGGGCTTCCCCCCTTAATTCCAGCATTGCGCAATGGTGCCCTACCCCCGTGCCACCGTGGCGGGACCTGTTTCCATTTTTAAGAAAAGTATTTTCCTTTTATTTAAAAATAAATTATTTTTCTTTTTAAATTTAATTATTTTGGGTGTAGGTATCATATTCTTTTTATGATACAGGGTTAAAGCCTCTGGTTTCCAAATTCTGTAATAAAAGGGAAAATCTGCTAGTGAGAAGTCATATATTGTTACTCTTCCACTGTCCTTTTTAATCACAGAGGATGTTGACAATGTCACCTCATTAGTTAGGAATTATTTTCCTCTGTTAATGATATTTTCTTCTTCTCCTTTTTTTTGTAGACAGGATTTTACCATGTAACGATCCTCCTGCCTCAACCTCCTGAAGTAGCTGGGGCTATCTATAGGTGTACACCACTATACCTAGCTTTGTAGTGTGGGCCAGAAGTCCAACCTCCATTTCCCATGTGGCCTCAGCCTGCTAAGCAGCAGCATCCATAGTGTGTTTTCACTGCTGGGCCTTGTTAATGGTATTTTCATGAATACAATGTTGTGATCACTTGTTCTATATATTTAAATTTGAGAAAACACATTATCAAACACTATTTCAATGTATTTTTTTAAACCATCAAGTGAGGGCTTTTTCTCCCCTAGTTACTTTGTTGCTGTTGCTGCTGTTGTTGTCAGAGAGAACCGGGAGAGTTTTCATGATCTGGCCCCAGCCTCAGCCACTCTAGATTTTGGGTATGTGCCTGCCTAGCGTGCTCCAGGTGGTCTTCAGACAGGACTCTGGAACCTTCCATGGGGTCATCCTTACCGAACATCACAGTTTACTGCTGCACTACTTCCTGGCCCGTATTTAGCATTTTTCTAAATTTATTTGTAAAGTAATGATAAACTGGTAGTATGTAGCTAAAATATTTTATGGCAAGTACAAGTAAGAATGCTTATCTAATTTTAAAAACACCATATTTTCAGATGCTTTGCATGCCTACTTTGGTATCTGTGGCCTGTCACTAATGGAGGAAAGTGGAATTTGTAAAGTTCATCCTGCTCTGAATGTAAGCACACGGACTTCTGAACGCCTTCGAGATCTCCATCAAAGCTGGAAAACCAAGGATCCCGAACAGTGCTCAGAGAATGTACATATATCCACATGACCAACATTAGATTAGGAGGGTCAGGGGATTTGTAGCATAATTGTAGCTCAAGGTTAAAAGCCATGTTATAGCCAAGTGTGCTCTTTTTTAAAGAGATAGAGTCTTACAGTCAATCCCCTACTGTTATATGTCACTTTGGTATATAATCTTGAGCCAGTAACTAACATTTGTACTGGGTTTCAAGAAAATCTTTGTTGGGGTTTGAACCACAGCTGACTCTATCGTGGTTCTTAAGTGTTTATACTGTATTTCTAAAAAGTTCTATGAGGCAAATTGACTGTGTATGCTGGTTATCTTTTTAGAAATCTTAAGTACAAATTGTATCTTATAAAATGGACACAAATCTTCAAAACAAGTTTACACTTCATAGCATTGATAATCTTCAGGAGAACCTTTAGTGATCATTTTAAAAGCTTGACTGCTGGTAGAAAATTTGCTTTAATGAATTAAGTATCTAGGATTGTCCTTTACAAACAGATGATCTCATAATTTTTTTAAAGAATGATTTATTTTGTCTTATTCTTAAGTGTGCCAATTAAACCCATGTGGCCTATATAAATGAACTAAATAACTTCATAGTGAAAATAACATGCTTACCTAATAAGATAGTTTTTTAAAGAGAGATTGTTTATAGACTATTATGTAACTGAGGGAAAAGTAATTTCACTGTACATGCTTGTGAATAAGAAAGCTGTACTGTGGGGTCATTCATTTAGCTCTTGCTGGGGGGAAATCCCAGTTATGTTTGATTTTAATCTCAAATCATTTAGTTGCCTTTTTTCTTTCTTTTTTTGCTCTTTCTAAGAAGAAAACAATCTTTTTTATCTAGAAGAAAAGATGTTTAGTGTTCTTGTTTATTTTTGAGATATATGATATTACAAATTGTACTTTTATAACAGTTATTTTTAGTCACTTGGATTTTCTCTTTTTTTTAATTGTGTTGTCCCCTCTATGAGTGTTAGCTACTCTAGTTTCACACTAGTAATTTTCTTATTTTTTAAGTAAAAATCTAAATACAACATTAAAACACAAGTTAAGTCAGTGATACAGCTCCTTACATTGTCATTTATATTTTTATATTTTTAGGTAAGTGGGAGGGAAATACAGCCATTTAGAAGATAAAAACTAGTGTTTGTTTTTGCTCATTGTTTTATTTTTTTCTTAGTTTTATTAACTAGCTAATTGTAAAGAAGATAATGTTTATCAATAAATCACATTAATAACAGTTTATCAATAAATCACATCCATCACTCGTTCAAAGATAAGAGTCTTGTACTGAAATGGAGAAGGAAATCTCACTAAAGAAGCTGGGTTTAATTTCATCTTGGTGATAATAAATGTTGAAATCTTACTTCAACAAGCATCAATATAAATACTAACTTACTATTATCATTGTGTAGGTATTTTAATAATTTTAACTTTTTCCTAAATTAGAAAAAATACCCTAAAATTGTAATCCTCCCCAAGGCAAACCTAATATATATTTTGAAAAGTTATTTATTTATTACTAACTTGCTTTTAGTTTTAAACCTGAGTTTACCAAAGTCAACTGTATTTTTTTTTAATTAAAAATAAAATAAATCTTATAATATTGGGGAAGAAATAAGCTTAACGACAGATATTAGCTTTCTGTGAGTTAGTCCTGTCACTTCTATTTAAATCCTGACAAATTAAGATATCCTATCTCAAACCAAGTCATCTCTTAAATGTGGGAGGTGTAAGTGGTGTGAATATACTGGTTTCAGGTCTATGTAGAGCCCAGATTGTCTCTCTTGTATTGTCATCAATAGTTAGACGGTATAGTGAGTGACTGTATTTTTAAAGGAAAGTAAGAGGATTCCAAGATAAAAGTATTTCATGAAACTATTCAATATCTTCTACATCCTAGAATAATGTAATCATATGAGAATACTGTGTAAATTACATTATGGTTCTAATTGACAAACTGTGGGAAACCGTGTCCAGGCTTAAGGACTGGGGATTGTTATGTTCTACAGTAACATAATGCCCCAAAATTCCGGGCTAGTGCAAAGCATGGAGAATTATTCCTAACTTTTTCTAGTTATTTACAAGAAAAGTATTTATATATAAAGCAAATTATGGGACCAGCAGATGGTATAATGGTTACATTGCTGGACTCCCATATGGTCAACTGTGGTTCAAGTCCTGGACCTGAAGGCTAAAACACATGCTGGGCATGTGTGTGTGCATGCCCAAAATCCTGAGAGGAGAATGGAGAAGAGGTGGTTGTGGCTTGGCCAACCCCCCTGGGGGGTAATTTCTCACTTTCTGTCTCTCTGTCTCTGTCTCTGGTGAGTGCATGTGCCCTACAGGAAAATCTCTCAAAAAACTTAAAATAAAAAATAAAGCAAATTATAAGCAATGTTTCACACATATGCTTTGTCCTTTGGCATTAGTGATATAATGAGAAAGGAAATTTGAAGTCCAGACTTCAGATAACTATGCCCTACTTGCTATCCCCCTTTAAGGAATTTTTTGCAGAGGATGATAGGAGAAGCTTTGTTTTGAGCATCTGCATAAAAATAAGGTTAATCAGGTTATACCACATAACTTAACCTATTTATCATCTATAGTGTGTTTAGATTGGATCTATAATGTGTATGTGTTTTTATTATACCTCTTTAAATATTCATTGATAAATACTTAATCTAAATTCAACCAGAAATTTTGCTGACAGTGGTACATAGTTCAAAAACTGTTAAGACGTGGTATTATTTGAGAGCGAATCAAAGAGCACTTCCGTACTCTGGAATCAGATGACTTGAATTTAAATCCCAGATCTGCCAGTTTATGTAATCCTAACTTTTCCATTGGTGGATGGAGGAAAATGATAAAACCTAACTCACAGAGAGTTGAGAAGTAAATCAGATAATATCTGTAAAGTACTTAGCATGGTGCCTGAAATCAGCATATTTCTAAATTATAGTTTCTGTCATTATCACCATAAAATTCTGATTGTTACTAAAAACGTTTTTATAAAATAGAGGGCTTAACTGAGTTTAAACTCAGAGAAGGTGATGACAGCAAGGTAGTCTCTGAATCTTCCGTAGGAATACAAAGCAGTTAGGATAGCCACAGGCATTATCTACAGTTAAATGACAGGATATCTCCATGAACCTCAAAATACAAATGAGAACAAACCACTGACCCACATGATTTTAGCATATGTGTAGGAGGAAATGAAAGAAAGATAGGTGGTTTCTGTTAGGTCTGCAAATTGGAGAACTGTAACATTCCCCAGTTTCTCCCTACGAAAGTACAATGGGCCAGTGTGAGAACAGAAGCTGAAAGTGGGAGGCAGGGTTCTACAGAATCCCATTTGGGGACCAGTAGATGGTGTAACAGTTACATCGATGGACTCCCATGTAGTTGACTGCAGTTTGAATCCCAGACCCAGCAGCTTAAAACTCACACTAGGCACATGTGCATGTCTGCCCAAAATCCCAAGAGCAAAATGGAGAAGGGATTGCATCATGACCATGCCCCCAGTGGGTGATTGCTCACTTTCTGTTTCTCTTTCTGTCTCTCCAGCAAGCATATGTGCCCTATAGCAAAAGGAAATAATTTGTAGATAAAAGCAAAATATAATTTATAGAAAACCAAAACAAAGCCAGTCCATAGCCTGGTGGTTAATGCAGCTGGAGCCCACATGGCCAACTGCTCAGTTTGATTTCCTGACCTGGCAGTTTGAAAACACCAGGTTCCTGTGCATGCATGCCCAAAATCCCCAGAGAAGGAGAAATGGAGGAAAAGGGATTGTGGTGTGATCATTCCCCACAGATGGTGCCTCTCTGTCTCCTTCCAACAAGCAAATGCATTCTCTGGAAAATTAAAAAAAAAAAGAAAGAACAAAAGGAAACCAGCCATTAAATAAATCCAAAAGCTGCTTCTTGGGGGATAGGGATGGACTCAGCAAGATAGAAAAACCACCAGCCAAACTGTTTAAGAAAAAAGGAAAAAAAAAAAAAAGGGAAGCACAAAAAACAAAACTTAAAAGGGCAAATACCATGAAACAGATTTTTAATTGAATATACGTCAAGTTAGAAAATCAACCCTTTTTAAAAAAAATGCAAATTGCCAAAATACACTCTAGTAGATAAAGTCAAAACCAGTTACTGTAGAAGAAACAACCAAAGGACCCCTTTGCCATAAAAGTATAATAATAATGATTGGGAAAAACATAGAAAAGATACTGAATGATGAAGTGGGGAGATTAATGTCTCTGTATTGACTGACATGCATGGCATTCCCTTTTGAAAAAGCAATGTAATACGCTGTAAAGCTATATGTAATCCAATGTAACATATAGAAGATTATGATAATAAAAAGAATTAAAAGGTACCTTTCAAATGAAAAAAAAAAAAAAAGTATCCGGCCCAGGTTGTCCCATGGAGATTTCTATTAACAATTAAGATGAAATAATTTCAATGTTGCTTGAACAATTCCAAGGTCAAAAAAGGCCCCCCAAAAGAACAAAAAAATTAATGTTGTAAAGTAAATGCAATAGCATTGATTCAAAAACCTGATACAGGTTGTACCGAAAAGAGAAGTATAGACCAATTTCAAATATCAATGCAAAAGTTTTTTCCAACAGCATTTTCAGAAGGTAATAAAACCATTACTAAGTTTGGCTCATTACAGGAATGCAAGAATAGCTTATTAGACAATCTATTAATATTCTTACTGAGTTTTTAAAAATAAATTATTATCTCCATCTTTGCAGAAAAGGCATTTGATAGACATGAGCACTTGTTTTGTATATACTTAGTAAGTAGAAACTGATAGCTAATTTATTAACATTGGATCTCTGCCCAGAAGTCAACATCTTGTTGGCTTTCCAACTACAGTCAGTGCCAAGACACATACCCAGCTCGTCAGCTATTGAACACCTTGTTGGGAGTTTTAGCCAATGAAGTTAGACAAAACAAAGACACAAGAATTAGAAAGGAAAAGATAAATTATTTGCAGATCCTAAGTGTGTGGAAAACCCACAAGAATTTGCTGAAAAACTAAACAGTGAAAAAATTTAATGTCAAGTAGCAATTAAATACATTTGCATACACCCATCAGTAGCTGTCACCAGGATGTCGGTGAAGTTCAGAACAGGCAAAGTTTATGTTTGGTGTAAAAATCAGTACCCTCTTTCAGCCACTACCTCTCTTCTCAAAGGTAAGCACTATCCTGATATATAATAAACCACTATCATTTAGTTTTGTCTATTTTTGAACTTTTGTGTAAGTGGAACCATATTGTATATGTTGTTTTTCAACTGGCTTCTTAAGCTCAACAAGAACTGGAGGGATGCAGTGAGCTCTGTGGTGCTGGTAATGTTGGTAATGCTGTGTTTCATGATTTAGGTGCTGGTTACATATGTCCACTCTATGAATATTTATCAAGCTATACACTAAAGATTTGTGTACTTTTCTTTACATGTAAGTATAGTTCAATAAAAAATGTTTAGTAAAGAAAGACTTCATATATACAACTAGTTAGAAAATGTATTGGAAAGCTCGTTTATGATTAAAAAAAATCATGTAAACTTAATAATGTGTCTGTAACCTACATGAAGAAAGCTTAAAACTCTTGGGACCAGCAGTTAGCATAATGGCTATGTGGCTGGACTCCCATGTAGTCGACCACGGTTTGTGTCCCAGACCTGGTGGCTTAAAACTCATGCCGTGTGCGTGTGCGTGCATGTCCAAGATCCCGAGAGGAGAATGGAGGAGAAGGGAGTGCGGCGTGGCCATCCCCCCTGGGCAGTGATTTCTCGCTTTCTGTCTCTCTGTCTCTGTCTGGTGAGCACATGCGACCTTATAGCAAAAACCTCTTAAAAAAAAAAAAAAAAGAAAGAAAGCTTAAAACTCTCGAAAGACAAAAAGGGGTAAATTTGAGGGAACAGCAGATGGCAATAATTGTTATATGGCTTAAAAATCACACCAGGCACATATGTATGTGTGTGTGCCCAAAATCCTGAGAAGAGAATGGAGGACAAGGGACTGCAGCGTGGCCGTTCCCCCAGAGAGTGATTTCTTGCTTTCTGTCTCTGGTAAGCACATGCACCCTATAGCAAAAATCTCTCAATAAAAAAGGTAGACTTGAATAAATGAAAAGAACACTATGTTCTTAGGAAGACTCAGCACCAGAATGTGTTTTTGTTTTTGTTTTTTTTAGTTTTGCTATCTGGTATATGTGCTCACCAGAAAGAGACA